ATTAAGGATCATATCTTCAACATATTCTATAAACCCTAGGAAAGTGTCATGCACCAACTAGGTATGCCAATACTTGTAAAAACAAGTACTTGTTTTAAATACTTTTAACAATAAAGTAAATTTGTGTAATGTGTACTGTGTATTGTGTAATGTGTACATATGTAAAAGTCTTGTTTCGATGAAGTAAGGTAAATAACAAAAGTATGTAGTTGTTAAAAACAAAGGCAATTCACATAAATGTTTATTTATTAATCCTAAGGCTGTCTTTTCCTTACTATCCACACTCCAAAGGTATCAACATCACCCCAGCATCAGTTGAAATTCCATGTCAAATTTTCTCCTGGCTGAATTATTTATCACTGAATCATACTAGTCATTACTTTTCTAAACACTAGTCAAATACTGGGAAAATACCAACAGATTATTTTGAGAGGGGTTATAACTCAACAAAGATCAATAGCACTCTGGAAAGTTACCCATGCATTTTAAGAATAAAGGATGTTTTCCTGCTCTGATTTTTCTCAATTGTTCCTACTGGATAACAAAAGGCAAAACAGCTGGAGGATTCTTTCTTACTCATGAGACAGATGCTATGTTGCTTCCTTGGCCATGTTAAAATCAGTGAAGGAAAAGACAATTGTTGCAGTTTCAACCTTTCTCTTAGTCTTTTTGTGAATGAAGGCCCCCACTAGGATCTCCTATTTCTCTTTTTCCATAACAACACCAACACAACCATAGCAAAAGCAACCAATCAAAACAATCAGCATTAGTGAAGAGATAAAGGGCCAATGGTGAGCAACAGGAAAAAGAAGCAGATGTAACCCCACATCCCCTGCCTTGAATAAGTTGGAACATGTTGATGCTTTTTTGGAGGTAGGTAAAGAACAGAGTGGACACTCATTATCACACTAATGGACTCCTACTCCCTTGAAATAGTCTCATGATCCCAAAAGCAAAATCCTATTACTTACATAGCAGGAAAAATTCAAGCCTTTATCTTAGCAATTAAAAAAAAAAGCTACCAAAATTAAAAAATGAAAAGAAAAACAATAGACCATTGAAAGTAAACATTATTTGGCTAAAAGCTACAACCTAAATAGTCTTATTTACAGAGCTTATTTTCTATAAAGGAACTACCACCAGATTTTTTTCTAGAATTCACTCTCCTGTAGATATCTATAGAAATTGAAATATGAATTAAGTTAAAAATTCTGAAAGAAAATTTCCCAAAGTAGAAAACCAAGCAAAGACATGCATGGCTCAAAAAGGTACAGATATCTCTTCCTTTTTTAATATTTATTTTTTAGTAGTTGAACACAATACCTTTATTTTATTTATTGTTATGTGGTGCTGAGGATCGAACCCACATGCTAGACAAGTACTCAACTGCTAAACCACAATCCCAGCCCCTCTCTATATCTCTTCTTCTTTTTTAATTCTTGAGAGAGAGAGAGAGAGAGAGAGAGAGAGAGAGAGAGAGAGAGAGAGAATTTTAATATTTATTTTTTAGTTCTTTCAGCGGACACAACATCTTTGTTTGTTTGTGGTGCTGAGGATCCAACCTGGGCCGCACTCATGCCAGGCAAGCGCGCTACCACTTGAGCCACATCTCCAGCCCTCTATATCTCTTCTTAATTCTCTAATTGTGGGAGTCAATTTTGGACTTCAATCATAAAGAGTTAGGAGGCTTATATTCTACTGTGATCTTACATATGATCATTACAACATTCTCAATCTCCATTTTGCCATCTGGATGATGAGGGTTTATATTAGGCCATTTCTCTCTTTAGGAAAGACTGTGCGATTGGCTAATACAAAAATTCATTGAAAATATAAAGAAAACTATGAATTTTTTTCCATAGACATGGGGGGAAAAATTCATGCCCAAGATAGTTTGTTTGTTTTTGTATATTCTGTATATCAAACCAACCATTAGATAATATTTAACTGCAAAATATTTTTTGTTTGTTTTGGTACTAGGAATTGAACCCAGAGGCACTTTACCATTGAGACGTATTTCCCGCCCTCTTTTTTTGTTGTTGTTTTCTTTTCCTGAGAAAGGGTCTTGTAAGTTCTTAGGATCCTCACTAAGTGAGGCCTTGGAATTCTCCTGCTTGAGCCTCCAAAGTTGCTGGAATTACAGGAGTGCACCACCACAGTGGGCTGTTTATTTTTTAATTTAATGAGGATATCTATGTTCTACATAGAAACATATACTTTATTATATATTTTAGATAAGCTTCAGTAATATTCTCCCTAAAATTCTTCTCTTCCAAGTTTCTTCCATTTTTTAAAATTCTACTGGACCCTCTGGTGTCTTTTCTGCATGCGCTCACTCAGGAGTGTGTGAGTAGCTAGAGCTCTCTGTTCCCTCCTGAGTACATATGAATCCTTATGTATATGTAAAGACTTTCAGATTATCAGATTATGTTGAAGCTTTTTGAGACCTACTATGATTGTCTCATTCTCTGGTTATATGCTGGGCTATTTCTTCCCCATTTATTTGCAACCACAAGAGATGCCAGTGAATCTAAACTAATTTTATATATAAAAAATATATTTTTTTCTTAATTAACTTTTTAATAATACAATATTCAAGAAGTACTAATGAGTTCCCTGCCACCCTGAAGTATATCTTCATCAAAAGAGGCAAATTTGACCAGAAAGAAAGCACATAAACTCTAAAAGAATTTTCATTGTTTCTTGAAGATTTTGTAGTACTAATACACTCCTTGCTTTAGCTTTTTCAGTGCTGTGACCAAAAGACCTGACAAGAAAAATTAGAGCATGAAACGTTTATTTTGGGGCTGTTTCAGAGGTCTCAGTTCATAGAAGGCTGACTCCATTCCTTGGGGCTAGAGGTGAGGCTAAACATTATGGCAGAAGAGTGTGGTGACATGATGTGGCTCAAGACATCACACTCGGAAGGAGAGAGAGGAAATGTTCAAGCCAGCCAGCTGGAGCTCCCCTCACTAGGAAAAGATACAAACAGCAAACGAATGTCCCCAGGAACCCGCCTCCTCCAGCCATACAAAACTTGCCTACAGTTATCACAAAGGTAATCCCTATCAGGGAATTAATGCACTGATTATATTAAATCCCTTGTAACACAATCATTTATTTCTAAATTTTTTTTGCATTGTCTCACAATGAGCTTTTTTGGGGACACCAAATACCTAAACCATAGCACTGACAAAGTAAATTTATAGAATTCAGAAACCTCTTCTTTCACTAAAGTGGGTAAGTCAAGGAGTGGAAATATCAGTTCAAACCTTCATATGAGGGCCGGGGTTGTGGCTCAGCGGTAGAACGCTCACCTACCACAGGCAAGGCCCTGGGTTTGATCCTCAGCACCACATAAAAATAAATAAGTTAATTAAAGATATTGTGTCCAGCTACAACTAAAAAATAAATATTTTTAAAAAACCTTGATATGAGAGGGAAGGATCGATCAGCAACATCTTAAATTGGAAGTGCTTTTTGAAAAACTGGGCAATTCTAGGAGACAACATAAGCAAGCCTAGTGTTTACAACTGCATACAGCAGTCTATTAATTAATTATATTTTGTCATGGGACATTCTATCACGCCAGGTTTGGCGTGCACACATTGAAATAAGTGGCTAGCTTCCTCCTGGGCATACAATGGCTGCCAGGAGCCAGAAAGGCTAACATTTCTTCATTCACACATTAATGGGTGAGGCAGGGGAGCTCGTACCTCAAAGCCATTTAACAACCCCCAGCTTCTACCTGTACTCTACTTTGAACCTGAACCAAGTCCTGGGCCCAAGGAAGGCCTTGTCTGCTTGGCCTGGGTCAGCCTTGGTGCCTCCCTATGGTGGAGTCAGCATGGCTGCTAGTGTTAGTACAAAGGGGCATCCTACAATAGGGAAAGGTGCTTAGTGATGGTGGCAGCAAACTCACCACCCAGTGTGAAAGAGGTGGAAAATACCAATGGTAAAATAATTTTTTAAACAAACTCAGAAATGGTATGCATAATTCAGACATCCTGATAGAAACCTTTATTTTGCTTTAGATGGCTTTCATGGAAAACAAGTGTGCTCCTACAAATTGCTGCATTGTTTTTATTCCAGCTCTTCCTTTTCTTTAATTTCAGAGAAATTATTCTTATATGGAAATCTATTGTAAAAATTCATGGAACTTTTAAAAAAGGCTCCTGTAATAATAAAATTAATTGTGACTCAAAAGTAACATTATTTCCTTAAAAAAATGTTGTGCTAAGATAAACAAATCCTCACCCATAGAGGAAAAATCTTCTAGATCAACTTGGGTAACTGCTTGACATCACATAGTAATATTGGCCTAAGTAGAGAAAATGATTACAGAAGTTAAGATTTAAACCTTAAGGGCTGGAGTCATGGCTCAGTGGTACAGCACTTGCCTGGCATGCATGAGACATCAGTGCCAATCCTCAGTGCCGCATATAAATAAATAAATAAAATAAAAAACATCCATTGACAACTTAAAAAAATAAAAAAGAAAGATTTAAATGTTAAGTCTAGAAAGACCTGTTAGAAGATAGCACTGCCCCCTTATACTATGTTGGATCATTCACATCCTAACATGTCAATCACCTGGGACTGGAATACTGAAAGTCTGACAAAGTTATCAAAAATTCTAGTCTATAAATCAGTGATAAGTCTTTAAAAAAGAGAAAAAACCCAAGCATATTCTAATTTAGTATTTTTAATCTGCAATGATTATGGATATTTATGCTCACACTTATTTACTTGACATGTATTTATGTAGAGACAGTGAATGTGTGAGATACTGTGCTGGGTGCTGGGAGTTCACATCCACACATGGGCTCCTGCTGCAGCACTCTCCTTCAGCACCCAGGAGACTCTGGGAACCCCGGAGGGGTCTTGTTCCTGCCTGGATGGAAACAGAAACACTGAAGGCGAGGTTAGCAAAAACCAAAGGAGATAACAGCAAAACCCTCTTTCATTTACAAAATGAATACAACTGTGACATAAGTGTGTCCATGTATGCAAGTTTTTATTATTTTAACAACAACAACAACAAAAAACAACTGTTGGAATGCAATCATAATGGAGGTTAGTGAGGAAACTTTTGAAGTATACACATTGGCTAACTGAGTACAATTTTCAGGAATAACTGTCATGAATAAAGTAAGGTTAGCTCATATTTAAATGTAGGAAAGGAAAAGTGAAGAAGAAAAGCTACTCTTAAGTAGAGTGATGTGGTAGTGTTTTGTTTTGCTTTCCAAGACCCCTCTAAAGAAGTGTCTCAGGACAGGAGGGTGTCCTAGGAACAGGTCTCTGCTCTTCCCCCTGTACCCACATGGGCAGAACCAGCTCCCAGGGAAGCTGCTAGGCTTCCTGAAGGTGGATGCTTCAGGCTCTTCCAACCTTTAGGGCCTTTAATTAATGTTTATCTGCAAATTCTTCTTTTTGTCTTTCCAGACTGAACTCCATTGATGTGAAGGAGCAGATGTGGAAGCTGGGATTTGTTTTTACTGACAATGTAAGCATGTCATCACCCAACAGCCGAGATGAGTCTGGGATTTCTGCAGAGGGAAGGACAGTTGTTTAAGGCTTATATTCAAATACCAGTGTGTTTAATACAGACCACATCTGAGAGATCCACAGCCCATCTTTCATTCTATTTTTCCAAAAGCTGAAAGATTAAAGGATAAATACATTTACATAAAAAAGATTGAGATGCAAACTCACATATATTTTCTTTCAGGTTTTAGTTGAGAAGTGGCACACTTCAAAGATCATAGATGTTAAATAGAAAAAAAAATAGAAATTAATTGTACTAAATTCAAGCTTTCCCCAATTAAGTATATTAAGTTACTGTGTTCCTTTTCTTGATTGATCCTTCTTTTATGAAAGAATCTTTGGAAACTGAAGATAGAGACCAAATGTATATTCAAATATAATGAAAAAAATTAGCTATTACTAAAATCCATAAGTTATCCCAAGATTTCACTTTTTAATTTTAGCATTGAGTTTCAGGGTACACATTCGTTCTTTCCTCCTGTCTCAAGGCCTTGACATACTCCAAATTTTCTTCACTCTCTCCTTATCTCTGCTTGACTCAGCCATGTCCCAGGAGTCTGAGTATCTCCTGAGAGCTCAACATCATGTCCTCTGAATATCTTCCAGATTCTCAGCTGATAGTGTGCTGTCTTGCAAGGAATGTCTCATCTTATAATGGAAAACTTAGGATGAAAAGGATCAGTGTCAGCTTCAGCTCCAACTCCAGTTGTTATTTTCCATCTCAACCCATCCTGGCTTCCGCCTCCTGGGGGGCACTCTAACAGCCACAGTCCTTGCATAGTCCACCTTTGTCCAGGTGACCTGTCCAAAATATTCACATTGCTATGGAGCTTTCTTGTCCTCTAGAGAATTTGGGCCTGTGAAGATCATACAGGAAGTCTAAAGAACCTCGAGTTTTCATCCACCTGCAGGTTTGTGGCTTCTGTTTGGCCAATCACTTCTCCACATGTGTTTAGTCCTCTACCACACAGTGTCTCTCTGAAACACAGCCAAGGGTGCCAAAAGAACTGTAGGATTCCCAGTGTCATTTAATATAAGCAAGAGGGAATGATTTTTAGCACAAGTGTGTCTCAAATACTGTCTGGGACACACCTGTACTAACAATTATTTATTCTTTATTTCTTGTTGAAATTTATCTGGCATCCCATGCACAGATTCCACACACAAAATCTTGGATGAGCTTATCACTCACTTATATATCCTTGATCATCTTAAGCCCAAACTTGTCCTTTCTCCTCAACCATTGCTAGAAGCCTCCATCTGAATGTCCCATGGCAAATACAGCATCTTCTCTCTCCTCCACTTCTTCCAACAAATCTAGTCCCCTTCCCACAATTTTCTCTGTCTGTATTTTTGTTCTTGTTACACAAACTCTAAATTATTAGCTTGGACTTTGCCTTTTCCCTTCCCCTCCATTACCTGCCTCTTTCCATTTGCTTCATCTCACCTTGTTCCCGTCCCTGTCTTTTGTAATTCTCCCTCCATCCTTGCCAACTTTGCTGCTTCTTGTGACTTTCATAACTTCAGTCTTGGACTTGTCCAATCATTTCCCAATTCAGTGGCTCTACTACTTACAACATTTTTAGACAAACTTACCCTGAATGAACTCATTTTACTCTTTTATAAGTTGGTCCTAATGATGCCTGTTTGTCAGGGATCCTGTGAGGATAAAATGAAAGACTGTGCATGCAAAAATATGGAACAATGACAAGCACTTAGTATGTGCTCAAAATTTTTTTTCTGAAATTCCACTTTTCACAAACCATTATCCTGCTTATTATGCTCTGATTGCTCCCAAAGCCTGTGAGATGTGCCTGTGTGCCAAACCTTGGCCTCCAGGTCTCCACTGCTTCTACTTTTCCAGCCTATTCTTCCAACACAGGAACCCAGCACTCAAACCCACTTCCTTTCCCAGGAAAACTCATTGCCTAGCCTTATTTCACTGTCTTTTAAAATGACACTTTCTTTTCTTCCACTTGACCTGTACCTTCACTCTCACACTGCCCATGAAATCCCCTGCACCACCCTACTCTCTTTCTTCTTTCTTTTTCTATAAACAAATGAGTTATGGTCAAAACAAAGGTTTATATCCCTTCCCAAACATTTTCCACCCACAAAGCCTGCCTTATGCACACAAAACACTAATGAAAAAAGTTAAATCAATTGCAGGATTTTATTGTTTCACACACTATCCCTTAAAATATGTATACATGTTCTTGTCTCATGAAGTCAATTACCTACATTAATTGTGTTCCTGGAGATTTCTACAAATATTGATGATTGTGTGGTTGGGTTTACCATAGTTTTCAGTGAAAATAGAATTTGCTTTTTTCCTGGGCTTATTTTTGTTCATGCTAAACCAAGATGCTTGGTTAATAAAACTCTTCATATAATCACTCATAAGTAGTATGTCTAAACAAATATTGATTTGTGTATGAATATATAGAAAAGGAGAGGGAGATGGTTGTTTGATTGACTATAGAACAGGGAATCTCAACCAAGGACTGTTTTGCCCTTAGGTGATATTCAGTAGTGTCAAAACTGGGTGCAGTTAGCATCCACTTGGAAGCTGCTAAGCATCTCATAGTGCATAGGGTGGACCCCTTAGCAAAGAGGAGTCCAAAATAGCACTCAGGGAAACCCTGTTATCAAGTCATAAGTTGATGAATTGTTTTCCATGGGAGGATAAGTAAGGAAAGTTTTTCAATGATACTGAACCTTCCAGAACAAACTCAATAAATAGTAATACACATGAAGAACTAATACAATTGGTTAGGGTTATAAAATGATGGTCTAGGAATCCTGGGCAGGTGGATTGATTTTAATAGGGTGATGTCAGAATAGCTTTTTACTGCAGTTTATTCTTCCATCTTCTGATGTGCCTTTCCTCCCATTTCTCTTACTGGTCCTTCCTCTCCCTTGACTGGTATATGACCATGCCCATTCTTGGATAGTCTAAATTTTTTTTTCTGCTTATCTTCTTGATACTGCTATGGGATTCAAGACTTTAAGAACCATCTTGTTATCAGTAGCTCACAATGGCAAACAAGTAAAAGTTTATCCTTTTCTTCCCCTTGCAGAAAGTAAAAGAACAACAAATAAAGTCAACAAAAATATAATGAATCATTTACTTTAGAGTTGCCAAGAACTGCTTCAAGGCTTGACTTGATTAATTAGCTGTGTCATTCTTGGATGAATTAATGAATATTTATGAATCTCAACTCCCTTATTTCCTGGAATAAAAATAATAAAAGTACTTCCCTTATTGGATTTTTCTGAAAATTAAATAAAAACAAATAGGACTTAGAACCATACATGTTAAGCACCAAGGAATTAGTTATTATTTGGCTCATCATGCAGTGTTTGCTCCATTTGATCCCAGATGGCCCCCAGACATGTTGCAGCACCTTGATGCATTGGTTGTATCAGTAATAAAACATGAGATTCTGCAGCTTAATGTACTGTGACATGTTAAAACTGGGTATTCATGTAGGCTTTTCTCTCCTTTAAAATTTAACAACAAAAAAGGGATGTTTCATTTTTGACAAGGTCATACTGACTTGGAGGAAGCTTGTCTAGGTCCAGCTCATCAGGTCATGGCACTCAGTTTTTCCGTGTTAAAATTTTTCATTATTCTGAAGCATATTGCAGAAACATGCATTTGTTAACTCATTTGCTGTTTCTCAAGTGGCCAGTGGGGGGAAACACATTCTGTTAGTTATTGGATTAGGAGAATCCTTTACCAGAGTCTTCTAGCCCAGCACAATTTTTAAAAATATGTCCCTCCAAAAAACTTGAACTTTGTCCACAGAAGCTTCCTTCATAGAGATTCTTTGCTCTCTAAACTACAGCAGGAAGTTCTTACATGTGTCATCCTGTGTTTTTAATGTGACGGTGGTTTTCATGGCCAATGCATTGACAGATCTGCTATGCTCACTTGCAAAGGCATCAAAAGGAAGCAAGAAGACAAGGAATCAAAAGAAACAAGGTGCAGAGGCAGAATGACAGAATAGCAGAAAAGCTGCTTGTTCAAGCTGCTGGCTTTATTTATACCAATAGGTTATATTCAGTCACAATATAAGATGTTTTGCTTATGGTTAGGTATGTGCTGCAGCCAAGCATGCATTGGTTATCTCAAGAGTTCCTGGGAAAAACTGCAAAACATTCCAACTGTGGGAAACAGGGTGCCTGTTACCCCCGGGGCGTTTTCTCCCCCGAGGAATGCTGCCTTGTACATTCCCATGGTCACAACTCTTACACTCACTCGCCAGTCAGCACATGGTGCTGAGCTCCCAGTACAGGTTCAGAACTGGGGATGCTCAGCCTGCTATCAACTTTCACACAAAAGGTCTGCTGCCAATTTCAACTAATTTCTGAGCTTTTTCAGGATTACTGCTCATCCTTTTGAGTGTCAAAGTTTAATTGGCAGAAATACAGAAAGCTTACTAGTCCTAAGAGTTAAACTGTGCACAAATTTACAGCACCATTATACTTAGGCCTTCTCTCAGAGTAACATGCTTTCTGGATATAACTGTAAAATGATTTGTAGACAATAAATAAATAGTAACAGACAAAAATGTAGGGTTGTGTTATAGTCAGAGAAAGGACTAATAAAGGTAATGCATCTTAGTATGTTTAGAATTTCTTTGATACAATCAGTAATACATTGACACCAAATTAGTAAATCACATTTTCAACACTGTATTCATATTCCATTAAAGGTATCTGTATATGTAAAACTGTATAGCTTGGAATTAAAGACTAAATACAGCTGAAAGAAGGCCTTTTAAACTGTGGCACTTAATTATACATTGAGAAACTAGCCTTCAGAATAGCTGTGGCCATTTCCTGTGGTATTTTTCATTTTGATCATCGGTTTATGTTTACAAAGAAAAACTTAGCTTTATTTTTAAAATATTTGCACCATGCATTCTTACATGTGGTGTTCCCAGGTTTCAAAAGCAACACAACTTCTTGCTTATTTCTAGAATGTGATTGAAAG